GGGGGGGGGGGGGGGGGGGGGGAGCGCGCGGCCGGTCATTCATGTAAACACGCGTGCGCGAGCACGTGCTAGAGTGTTACGCCATAACACTTTCAGCCGTCGAGACGAGCACATCGGGAGCTGCCGTGTTATTTTCTATAACTATTCCGCGCCGATTTTTAATTTGCGTTTCGACTTCGCGACAATTAAGGCAATAATTAAGACGAATTAAGACGTGTACTCGTCATGCGAGCAGGTGTTGCAGGCTTTACCGCGGCAGGTAACTATCGTTTCGTTTACTTTTTTACTTGTTAGAAAGAGAAACATCGCGATTGAGTTCCTCAATGCCGATCAGATATTATTATCATGATCAGAGTTGTAAAAATATCAATTAAATTTGCTTCAATTTAATAATTGGTTTCTGTAAATAATTTCTAATTTAATTCATTGACGATTAATATAAACCTATTCAATTAAAAATATTTTAATTAACTACTGACTACAAGAAATCTACTTAAAAATCATTTAATTAACGATTGATTTGAACAGTTTTTAATTGAATTCCTTCAAATTAATCGTTAATTGAATGATTTTTAATTAGATTTCTTGAAGTCAGTGGTTAATTAAAATATTTTTAACTGAATAGGCTTATATTAATCATCAATTAAATTCGATAATTAATTGAAAAAGTAATTAATTACTTGCAATTCTGATTATGATCCATTTATTATTCGAATATTATTACTTCTTTACTCGGTTATCATTTAATTATTTTTATTGCGTATTGGGAATTAACTCGAGCGTGCCGTTACGACGATTTTTTTAGGCCTGGAACATAAAAACGCTGTATGTCGCTGTCGCATATTGGAACGCAGCCGATAGTTCAATGAGAAAATTTATTTTTCGAGAATGAGTTCTCCTCATTGGGTTGCGTCCCGACATCCAACTTCGACGTATTGTGTTTCAGGCCTTACTTTGCTGTCTTGCTGTCGTGTGTAACTAATTGATACTAAATTACTAAATTACTAATTGATACTAACTTAAATCTGCTTTCTGTTACAGAGATTCAATAAACGCGGTCACGCGGCGTAGGAGATGCGATGCCTGGGGGATGCCGCGCTGGAGGATCCAGCTCGGACATAGCAGAATCGGTTCGAAGGTGAGTTTTAGTGATATGCATTCGTAATTAGAAACAAAACTGACAAAACTGACAAAACTGGAAATTCTCTTGCTTGGAACCGAGTTCCTTAATGTCTCCAGTGTCGTGTGTAACTAATTAATATTAAATTAAATCTGCTTTCTGTTGCAGAGACGAAGCAGGTCCGCAGAGCCGATTCTAAGGGGATGCTGCGCCGGAGGATCCGGCTCGGGTCGAGCAGGGTAAACTCGAAGGTGAGTTTTATTAATTAATATTCGTAATTAGAAATCCGACAAGATAGATCCGACTGATAATTTTCTTGCTCGAAATCGAGATAATTTGAATCGAATCAAAGATCGCGTTAAATCGTAATTACACGCGAGCAGAATTTTCCTGGGTAACATTGCAACTTGAGAAATATTGATTTATTCTGACTAAGAGATTTATTTGCAATGTCGTGAAAAAAGAAGATGGAATATTCTAGTGTAAATGCATTCCGAAAAATTCTTTTAGCGTGAAAAATATCGCGCTTATTTTTTTAATCTTTCAAACTTCTACTCAAATCGACATCAATGCACAAATCTAATCGGCGAAATGGCATTTTTCTGTTTCAGAAACGAAAGCAGAATGTGGTTGCCCTGATCGGCAGTTCGGTGAGTCAAAACAAGAAACATATTGATAATAGAAAGACAAAAAGTCTTTCGATGTAGTGCATGCTTATAAATCAATGCGATTTATTTTGCTGTAGTGTAGTATGTGTATGTGCCGTCAAATAAAAAGCACCCTGCTCGAAACATTTGGAAAATCGCTTTTTCAGATAATAATATTAGTGATAATGCATATATATTCTACATAAATTTGACAAATAAATTTTCAAGTATTTTTCTCCTAAGGTATATATATTTATTAACTGATTAATTAACTTAGATTATCAATTGGTCAATGATTTTTGTCGAAGAAAATTTTGATTAATCAAACTATCTGACAGATGCTTAAAGTATTGAGTATATTTCCGTTCTAAACATTCAGAATTGTGTAAAGTTATTTAGTTGTAAAATTATTCATTGAATGCAATCGTCCAATTGTCTCGATCAGTGTGTCAACGCGCAAAAAGATTGCGCCACAGAAAATGCATGATCACATCACCCGCGTCAATAGATCTTCTGTCGGTCGTTAATTTTCTCAATTTTCTCTCTCGCCTAAGTTTGCGTCGTGATTGCATTTTGTCAAATACAGAGTTCATACCTCGTTATTAAATAAAATTCGATATCGTGTGGTGCCTGCGCGAAGCGATCAAACGTGATTATATAAACTACTTGCGAAATTAATTTCACGATCGTCGGAAAATTTTCAGTTTTTAATTTTTCACTTAGAGTTAAAGTTTCCTAACGCGGAGGAATAGTCAATGCTAGTCGTTTATCCAAAACGCCAACATTTTCTCGAAAACGCAGTTTGCGATATTTCATACGCGATTCGAAACTCGGAGTATATTCCTCAAGCGAGACGGGATTTTTCGCGAAACCTCCGTTAGATTACCGCGGTCGGGAGTGAATTACAGGCGACGTGTGATGCGAAGACCATTGCAGCGCCAGATGCAGCAACGGGATGGCTGGTGGACCCTGGACACCGTGGGACGACGCGCAATGGTGAGCGTTCAATTCAGATAGTAGACACAAAGCGTCACTTTATGTAGATTGCATGCACGTAGACGTAAATCGCATTGAGTTCGACGGGAAGTAAAGTAAGAATTGGAATTTGCAATTTGCCGGAGTTATGTAAGAATGATCCAACAAAAAAAATTTAGCTCTGAGGTTTTTCGCAGTTGTTCAACGAGTCAAGCATTTTCATTTCTTTAAAGTACTGACTAGTTCAATCTTTAGAAAAATATGCAAAAAAGACGCGACTGGTAAAAAATAAGAAACTGTTTCTTAATTAATTTCACGCGTCTAAAGCTTGACTTTTTTTCATTTTGTGTAAAAAGCTAAATGAAATATCTATTGATAAAAACTTATAATTTTTTTAGTTGGATCATTCTCGCATAACAATGGCCAATTGAAATTTCATCTCGGAAGGCTTCTTTTTCGTCGGATTATTTCTTGATGATACATTGAAATGATTTATTTCAACATGTCATATTTATATGTTTTATATGAGCTATATATACTCTTTTATACCCTATATATGTTCTGTATATACTATATGATTATTATGCTGTATAACTTATTACGTAGTATTATATACGACATACTATCTCTTCGGAGATATCTTCTTATACGCATACGCGTACGCGTTTGTCATTGACAAGACGACAAATTAAATTTCAAAGGCAGGTGAAATTTCTGGGGGAGGGGAGGGAGAAATAATCCATATATACACAACACGTGAATAAATCGAAGCGTGTATTAATCACGTCCCTGAAACTTCGGATGGGAAAAGTGAAGAGTTGAAAATGAAAGCTATATTAAGCGATCGAATATCTCGGTCTCGCGTTGACCGTGTAGAGTCTGTTGATCGTGCTGGAGGTTTGCGTGCTCGTAATCAACGGTATGAAGGTGTTGACGATAACGTTCGATGTTGTCACGTGAACTACGGGCTAAACACGTTTGTCCTGCGTTTGCAAAGAAAGAGATTTGATTCTAAAGATGTATTTCCGTAAATGACGTATTGTCAAGTGTGCGTATTTCGCTCAGCACCGTCTCCTGGATGAATTTGAGTTAACGTGACATTACTCCCTCAGTAACATGCCCAGAATCTTCAAAATAATTTTCCAATACCCAAAAGTCGCGTTCGAGGATACTAAATATGAAAATTTTACCGACAGAACATTAACTTTTTTCTACAAAGTTTACGTCTTGTTGCTTGCACAGAATTACAAATATTTTTACAAAAGTACATGCAAAAATAAATTGGAGCATTGCTCAATATGTAATGAAAACGAAAAAAATATTTTTAAAGTTAAATTTCGAGCTGTTAGTTAGTGCAATATTTATTTAATATTAAAATTCCGCAGGTTGTACATTATTATTAGATTATGTAATGTGTTCATCGAAATAATATTTTTCTGCATACGACATTTTTCTATAAAACTTTCTTTACTTAGTGTACCTTGTATAATAATAACTATCAAAACATCTATCACAAAATGCATCAAAAGCATATTTTGATGAGAATACGAGTATTGGAATATCGATAAGAAGGCATTTACGTATCTATATGTAGAAATGATGCATATATGAAAAAAAGTAAATGGACAGCAACATCATATCAGCACTTATTTGACTTTACTTGATAAATATCTATCTAATATGTATTTACATATACATAAAATCAGTAACGTCGGTGAATAATAATAACGTTGTATAATAATTGAAAAATAATAATTATTCTATTTGGAGTATCCACACTTTCAGTATGTACAAGTTACGGAACTTTTAGATTAGGTAGGCAGCAAATATTACGTTGGCAGCTTGAGATTTTACATTAACATTTTTTTTCACTTTTGTCACATATTAAGCAATGCTCCTATTTATTTTTACATCTACTTTAATTGTGTAACAGCATTTATAATTTTGTATCACTAATACGACGTAGAGTTTACAGAAAAATGTCAATATCCTGTTGATAAAATTTTCAGCTTCAGCATCCCTTTAACTTTTCCATATCTTATATTGAGAATGTCGTACACCGGTTCATTCATCTTCTATGAATCATCAAAGCCGAGTTTTTTATTTTGTGTGGTCGAGAAAACGATCCTTTAATTTCTATGCATAATGCATATTTTAATATACATTTTTTTCTTTGCAATTTAAATATGTTTGTAATATCGCGTTATAAAATAATATATAAGACGTATAATGTATTTAGAATAATCACTTCTCTTCTTTACAAAGTAAACAATTACTAATTATAGTAACTCATCAAATTTTTTTAAATAATCTTGTGTAGAGAATTTTTTTAAAAGATGAACTGAAAGAGTCATATATCTCTTAAAGTAATTGAAGGCCACAGTAGGCTAACGTTTCCTCTCGGGATGCACCGACGGACGCGTGTGCACATCAAGTAGTAGTTGAATAAAAACGTTATTATGTTACCTTAAAATTAAATATTAATAAACAGGCATCCCAGACGTATATAGAACTTTGTTTATTTATTTGATATATGATAATCGTATAAGTTATATATATATATATATATATATATATATATATATATATATATATATAGAATGTTCAATATACTTTTTTCGAATATATATACAGGCTATTCGTATAACATTCGGAATATATAGTCGGACTTATTGGACATAAAATTTGGATACTCAATAGATATCCTACGCGGTGCGCAAGTGGTATAATAACGATAATTACGACCTAACCGTTAATAAGAAATATACAGTCGGCACTCGGCCGAGGAGAAGTCCGCTTCGTTCGCGACAAACTCTTCGGTGTCGACTCTAACGCCTTCGTCTTCTCCTCCTGTCTTTTCTGAGCGTGTATTTGGCATTTGTCTTTTATTCCTCGCTTTCGTGCAGTCTCGGTGCTTGAGGATCGCGAATGGCGATGGAAAACTTACTGGAATACGTCACATCTTTAAAAAGAAAAGAAACCATCATCAAACAAATAAATTATCCTGAACGACGCAGACGTCCGCGAAAATGTTCTCACGCGAGATGCTTTCAGAAAGCATCCGAAATGTATATAATTAAAATTCTTGCTTTTCTTGGACAATTTTCGCGGTTCTGCGTTGCTCAAAAGCTGCTGTTGTCAGCCCGGAGCGCTCTCCGTGCGGTGATAAGGTCCACACAATGTTGAAAACATTTACATCGAATGATTCTTTGACAAAGATACCATCGCACACGAAATCTTTCCTGACGTTCTGTTCCGCTTGGAGTCCAGTCTTAGTGTAAGTTAGTAGTCTCCATTCTACCATTCTCGGCATGATATCTAGCATATTCTCGCGTTAGCCTCCACGTCGTAGCGTTGTGCAGGTTTTTGCAGTCTTATAAACGTTGTCGACGTTTCCTCCTCGTCTCACCTTTTCGTTTTCTCGTTTCCTTCATATTCCATCTTAGTCGAAAATTACGTGAATCCTAACGGGTTCCTCGATTACCATGTCGTCTTCAATAACTCGACACAATTTGACAATGTCGATCCTCACCGTCCGACATCGTCGGTCTACCTTCCGTTTGAGCGTTTTGAATACGTCGGATTCTCTCCTCTTTATCCACGAGGACGACGTCGAGGCCCGTTTCTCGACGCTCTCGTCCACGTTTTCTCTTTTTCCGCGCAGAACGAGTCGCTTCATTAGCCGTGGAAGCCACGAAAGCGTCACATGAAGACGTTTTCCAAGCCGGGTAGATTCTTCCTAGTAGGCGTCGAAGTAGCGCAACTGACCCCCTCGTCTTCGAACGTGACCATTTTCTCGCGACTCCTGGTGGCAGTGTTGCCCCCACCGTCCAACAACCGCGTCTGACTAGTGCCGGCGGCAGTAGTAGCCACTCCGACGGCAACCGGCGGCGTAATCGCCGAAGAAGGCCTCAGGACCGACGCTGGCGGCGGCGGCGGCACTGCCATGTCAGTGACAGCGGCCGCTGCGAGATTGAACTCACTGACGCTACGTGGCACAAAGTACTCGAAGTGGAGCGAGCTCTCCTGCTGACGGTGCTGATGATGGTGCGGCGGTGGCGGCTGCTGCTGCTGCTGCTGTTGATGTTGTTGCTGCTGATGATGGTACTGAGTGGGCGACAGGCAGCTCCTCCTCAACGGCTGGCCCCGTTGGAACTGCTGAATGTTGGCGGTGGCCGTGGTGGACGAGTTGCTCCTGCCGTCCAACGGCGTCTTTTTGCGCGGCAACGAATGGTGGCCGCCGGGAGACAACTTCATGGCAGTGTTCGACGGGTGGGCCAGGAGCTTGCCGTCGCCGGGGCTCCTGGCCTGATGTTGTCAGGATCCGGCTGGCACCATTGACATGGCGATCGCTTCCTCCTCCTGCTCGGACAGCCGTGAGTCGCTGGTGCCGCCTCCGTCGTCGAGGTCGGCCTTGAGCCCGGGTGTGGCACCTGCTGCAAGGAAAAGAGGGAGCACGCGTGACTGAGGGAGGCGGGCGAGTCGCCTCGGCAATCGCTGCCTCGAGATATATAGCTCTACAGGACCAGTCGCGTTGTTATCTCGTAGAAGGACGTATCGTCCCGCGGACTACACCTATTACGTAGGACTGATGCGATCACGAGAGTCCTAAATCGCGTAGTAGGACTCTCGTCGATGTGGGATGGATCTCGCGTTTATGGTACTGGCCGTTAGTGATGAACATAGCATTCTTATTGGGTGGTGTCGAGATAATTACGTAAAAGCGTGTCAATCGAAAGTTTACAATTAATCGACTAGTGCGTGCACCGGTGGTTAACGGTGCACGCGGTCAATCAGAGTCAATCGTTACAGCGACGTACAGTCGTACGTAAGGTCGTTGCTTGTATATCCCGAACGCGATCGACATTCGCCACGGTGTGCTCCGATAGGATCCGTTTAGTTTCTCTCTATCTCGTTCTCTTGCTCTCTCGCGCGCATTCTCTGAATCGCGGAAGACTCACTACTGGTTCCCCACCGAATGCCTTCATCAGGGATACCTGTACCACTGATAGGTCCGACCACCACGCCCGACGACATGCCGCAGGTTCTACCGAAGACCCTGACCACGCGTACCACCTCCTCCTGGACGAGGTTGAAGCACATGGCGATCAGTCCCATCCCGGCGAGGATGTAGAGTGAACAGGCGCACAGACTGAGCTCCTCCAAGGTGGCCGAAGGCGCGTTGCGACCCATAGGCATCAGATCGCCGAAGCCGATCGTGCCGAGGCTGGTGAAGCAGAAGTAACCACCCTCCAGTAGACTCCAGCCCTCCAGACGGTTGAACATTACCGCGCCGCCGCATATGTACACCAGCATTATCACCAGGCACAGGCTGATGGGTATCCGGACCGGATTGGTCTCCAGCATGTACGCCGGTGACGAGGTAGACGATAGGGACAATGAGCACGGGTGAAAGTGCCGCTTGCCATTACCCGTCGTTACGTCCTGGTGAAAGGGTGGAAAACGTGCTCCTTTAGTTTCGTAAAATTACTCGGGAAATTCGCGGCGTGAGTGAAGTTAGTCGTTTAAAATCTTCAACTGAAAGTTTGTCGTTCTCTTTGGTTGAAATTCATTACGGCAAAAATCGGCAAAATAGTTTTGTGTTTCAGCTTTTGACTGGTATGTCTTTTGGTCAATTTTAGGAGTGACTGATATGGCTGGTCACAAAGATCGAAACTAAGAGAAGTCATAGTAAAACTATTTAGAGGAGGTATCTCTAGTCACCGTGTCATATATATTGTAAAGAACATCATCCTGAGTAACCTTCAATAGGTCTTAACCGTCACTCGTTATGTATTAATTATTAACAATTATTAACAAAAGAAGTTTTATAAATAGAAAGTAATTCTTCGATATCATATACATTTAAGAAGTATCAAAAATATTTTTGATAGAATGAGGAGTTTCGCTCTTCACCCTGCTAAAAAATCTAACCTAACCTACTCTACAGCACTGTAAGAACGTTGGTTGTTAAAATGTATATACGTAAATGTACATTTTTTAACAACTAATATTGTCACAATACTATAGAATAGGATTATGTTAGATTTTTAGCGGGGTAAAAGGCAAAACGCTTCATTGTTCTGTATATTGACCAGTTCTAAGGACGCTCGTACTATAAGCTTTGACTATGACACACATATGTATGTACTAATTAATTCAATAATTGAGACTTTCTCTCTCTCTCTCTCTTTCTCTTTCGGTCAGTAACTGTAATAACGCAGCTTATTGTTGCACTAACGTGTAATTTGTTCAATAGATACATTTCTTTGCAGACAGGTGATTTTGTTGATTCAATTGCTTTTTTCTCAGTGTAGGAATAGCTAAAGTACCAAAAGTCGATCATAGGATATTGGTAATTTTGATTTTCGTTGTAGAGGAAATTTGAGTAGCGTAAGACGATTGTACTCTATATCCTTGTGATCCATCCTTCTGATATCAGTCAATCTATCTATCTATCTATCTTCGTGATATATCGAATACAGTCGGGGAGTGATTTACGATTTGACCTGATATAAATCGAGCGGTCAGTAATATTGTTACCTGAAGCGCGGCTGTCGAGCTGGTGGTGGCATGCAAGAGACCCTCGCTGCCGCAGTCGAGCAGAATCGCGCTGCTGGTGCCACGGGTACCCAGGTCGTCGCAGGAGCTCTCCCTGCTCGCCGAGTAATAGTTGCCGGCCTTGGTCTCCACGTGGTTGTCGTAGCGATACGCCTTGCCCATAATGCCGCCTACTGGAGGCGGCGGTGGTGGCGGTTGCTGCTTACGCGTGCAATTGCGAGGCCTGCATATACGTCCGTACAGACGACGGAAACTCCGTGCGAGCACATCGCCCACCGTGCTCAGATAGACTAGCATCAGCGGGATCCCCGCCAGGGCGTAGACAATAGTAATCAGTCGACCCCAGACTGTGCGCGGTGCCACGTTACCGTATCCTGAAACGAATATTGTCTCTGCAGTTTCCGCGCCTCGGCGAAACTCACAAGAAAACGCTTGAAAGTATTCTATAAATTTCTTAGAATATGAAATTTCGCTCGAAAAGTCGAGTGATCATCTCAAATGGCCACTGAGTCACTCGAATTCAAGTGATCTTTCACTCATATAGGAAATTCTTCGCTCTGAATCGTCGAGTAAGTATTTTTATTCGAAGTTGAAAAGTGAAGTCTGATGAATCTCCACTGTGATAGGAGCATATTTCCTCTAATCGATTGAAATACTCGCTCATACGAAGTCAGAATCCACTTTAAGCTTGAGTGAAACGTTCACCATTACGATTTCAAGTGGCAATATTTTCATTATCGCTTCGAGCACTACCATTTTTCATTCGTTTTGAGTGAGATACCACTTCAAGAAATTTACAGAGTATGTATCATATATTTTCTCTGACTTGACGATATCCTTTCGTTCACAATCAATTTTATATAATCACTTTCCAGAAGCTATTGAAAACTTCTGAACCTGCAAGAAAGCAAATAGAAGTTTTATGGTATTTGACACATTTATCTATAGATTTTTATCAAATTTGTCAGAAATTTTTCTTCTTTTTACAACATACTCAAATACCATGAACTTTTTTCCAAAGACACTTGCTCATAATCAGTTTTCTCGGATGTCCTTCGATGTGTTGCTTCAACTCCTAGACTTGCAACGAAACGCATATGAAAGTAAAATACGCGTTCTTTATTTTTAATTATTCTTCCACGACATATTCAAACTCTATAAAAATCGTCGAGGAATATTTGTTTCTTTGTAAGTGGCAAGTCCTTCGTGGTAGCGAGCTAATAATACTCGGCGGACTGTCGCCGCACACACGAGATGCTCGAGGTAACTCACGTTTGTTCGGGGAACGTGACGAAAATCGAAACGATCCGTCTCTCCGTGACGTTGTCTCTCGGTGTCGCTGACAGCTTCCGCGTTAAAAGTGATTCGAAGAGGAAGGGATGGGAATAAGTCGCGAGAGTTTGCTTCCTCGCTCAATTCTAAGCGAGATTTCGTCGGACCTTCGATCGCGGCTATTAATGTTACACGCGTCCCACGACTCGCGACCTGAATTTTAACGGGTTCTCTAATCAATTTCACGTCGAGTTCACCTCGACGGAAACGTCATTGAGGTGTGTAACGCGCTCAGTACATGTCAAATTCTTCATATCGAAATGTCACGGAGAGAAGTATCGAATTGTACCGTGAACGACAATACTTTTGACGGACCTATAGTCGTGATGAGCGTCAAGGAGTACAGCAGACTACCGCTGAAGGTCCACCGTCGACTGTGAAGGCGCCTATCCGCGTGGTGCTCGCGAGACCGAGGAGGCAATGGTGGCACCGGCTCGTACGGCGACGAGGAGCGTCTGAGGCCGCGAGCCAGGTTCTCCTGGAACTCGAGGACCTCCCGAGCTGCTAAGCGAGTCCAGTTTTCCTTGTAGAGAACGTTCAAGTCTTCGGTGATGCTCCAGAGCCTCTCGACCGTACGCGCCCTCAACTCCATGGCGGCGGAGTCGTCCTCGAAATTCGGTAGCACGTAGGAACCTCCGTCAGGTTTCGAGTTGCCGGAGGACGCGACCTCAGTAGACGAGTCCTGAAGAGGCACGTTATCATCGTTACATTATTATATAATTAGTCGCTGACAATAATCAGCGTCCATCTGACATCTTAGATTTCCGCGATATGGTGAGATGTTTGATCTAACTTAGAGATTGGTACTGCATCCTTCATGGATTTGTTTTCGACGTCTCGTGAATATTCCATTTCATTTCTTCCGCAGACTTCTTCAGTAAAGGAAAGACTTGATACTAATCTAAGTATCTAAGTTAATCTCAGATTGTTCTTTTGTTGAAGAAGTCTCCTGAAGAAGTCAGTCGGAATGTTCACAAAACATTGAAAACAAATTCATGAAGGACGCGGCGCCAACTTGGAGAAGTCAGACCAAGAAAAATTAGCGTCCATATTAAGGAGGTTGTAAGATTTAGTATCATATATTTTTTATAGCGGCGCAACAAGGGGACCACTCATAAGCTTACTAATTTTATCGTGGGAAAAAATTACGTTTCTATATATTTACTTTATTATCTAAGTAATAAATGTTAAATTTTGGATAAAGCTGAAATGAATATATACGCAATATTATAAATATGAAAAATATTATTTAAAAAATTTTTCTTATTAATACTTCATTGATGCATCAATTGATCTAATAGAGATGCATAGGTAATAGAGAAAAGTATATAAGTGTTTAAATATGAATATATGTGTGTATCTCGAATATTATTACAAATTACGAACTTCCCCATT